AGCAGCTGCAGCACATAAATCAGATAATTCTGATGCAGCAGTGAAGTGCAACCAAAAAGCACAGTGAAAGCTCACTTGAACTTGGTGGCCTGAGTCTCCACTGTGACTGAGAATCCAAGAACACCTGATGTGTTTCTACAGGTTGGGTAGACATGATATCTGTGAAAACAGATGGAGTACAACTAATTAAAACCAGCAACTGGAGCAAGATAATGTCTTAATGTTGTCTCTGTGCCACAGACTTACCCCAGTGTCTCTTTGGCTCGGAGGAAGTCAAAGCATGGCTCCTCCATGTGCATCTACAACAGGAGCCACAATGATAAAACATAAGTTGATAAAAACAGTTTATGTATTGCCGCCCATGTAGGAACATGCTTTAGTCTGCAGTCATAGCAGTAGAACTGCCCAGAAGTCTGATATTGGATTTAGCTGATATAAGGCGCAAAGAGGTACAAATTTCTGAATAATTAGCCAAAAAGGTTTTTTAAATTGATATATAAAATGTTTTTTTGGTGTTTCTTTAGTGAAGCTTTTCTTTAATATGCAAACAAAAAATACCAACTTAAAAAAAAGAGAGACAATACCGGTTATAGACATTTGTAGTTCCAAAAGCTGTTATCAGCAGCGATTCACCGGCAAAAATAAATAAATCGTTGAACTTTTAGAACAGCACATTACACTTTACAATGAGAGCCAGCTCAACCTTTTAGAGTGTTTTAAAGTAACTGCTGAGAAAGACAGGGAACTGGACAGCATCCAAAGTCAGTCTTCAGTATCAAGTAAAGTGGATGAGTTGAGCTTATGGCCATGCAGATGTGTGTGCTCAGCGCCCTAGAGAGCAATAACAGAACTTCTTTTGAATCTGGCAAGAGGGACTGACTTTATTGCTTAAAAAACCCTGGGGCAGCTGTTCTTATACCTTTTATACATACATAAAGTTACAGTAACGTTTACTGTAAGCTATACCCTTCATTATGTAGTCAGCAACCAAAACTCATACTCACCACTAGTAGCTCCATAAGAGTGTGCTCACGTAGGTTCTTAGGACCGGACTATCAAAA